AAACATAGTCTGTAATTTAGTGATCTGTAGTATGCCATGGCTAGTTTATTCAGTTTTGACCACTGACATGCTGGTTTTGCAACACATTAACATTTAAAGAATCTGGGTGAAGGTTATTGTTGCAAACTTTCTGTAAATGCAACTGTACATCTTGAAAATTAAAAGTTAAGGGGTGAAAGGTGCCTCTGGAGCACTCCAAACTTCTGTGTGTTTGGCTTACATTAGGGGTTAATGGTCAGGGAGAACTGAGCGGGTTAAAAATGGACAGAGCAACTGGCCAAATGTTTAGCCAAATGACAGGATCAAAGGAAATATACCAGATGTTTGGCAACAGCCCTACATAGGAGGCAACTCCGCTCAGCAGGGAGTCCATGAAGGAAACCAGAGACATCAGCTCTGATTTCAACCACAACATAAAAACGGCCTATAAATACTCGTCCTCATCGAAGAATTCCATTTTCATTACTATTTCTGAACCTTCTAGAACAAGAAGCTCACCATCCCCTAGAATTTGGTGGCCTTTGTACACGCATAAGCTCACATGGGCCTACATAAATATTTAATTTTAACAAATGTTGGCATGTCAAAATATGCATCTTTTAAACTAATTTCAACTCAGGAAAGTATCCCCCCAAATATATCATTACTAAAAGTTGTTCTTTAGTTTTGCTCAAAATGTTTACTTCCCAGTCACCATCAAATCTGTTCTATCAAGGTGTTCTCCTTACTTAAAAAAAAAATGGTGTGATATTAAGATTCAACAAGACTTTACAGAAGTGGGGACAGGGACTGCAGAGGAAACCCCAAGGGTAACCCTGGATGGTGGCTCTATTTGTTTTTGAGGAAGAGCTGTTTTATTTCTTTGTCTATTTTTTTTTTTGTCATTTCTCAGGACGTTTACTGTACAACTAGAAATAATCATGGTCATTTTATAGAGGCCCTCCAACGAAATGTCTGCATCATTATTTGTCATAACCATGGAAATGCCCAGAAAAAAAAAAAAAGCAACTAGCATCGTCTTTGGCTAACCTTCCCTTTATAGGTGGCAGTATTTTGGGTGTTTGTCAACATTTTCAGGCTTCTGAGCATAAGCTTGACCTTTCTTAAAAAGCATGATTCTGAAGATAATTCCAACCATTGATTGTCATGGAGCACTTGCAGAATCACATCTGTGTGTAAGTGTGGGTTTTGAGAAGTCAAAAGTTACATGAGAAAATTATCCTGAGAATTAACAACCAAGACTGCCCACACTGTGCTCTATGATAAAGTGGGGGAATATGATGACAGAGGTCATAGACAACAAAAGAGACTTCTAAAAGAAAACATAGAAGGACTCAGAAGGAAATACATGGGGTATTTTAAATGCCCAACTTCAGGCAAATTCCCAAAAGTGGGAACACGTCTTATTTACCAGACATTGTCTACTATCCATGTATTGGCCATTCTAGAAAGAGACAGACAACGGATGATCCATATATTAAATATCATAATGTTGCTTATCTACATCAAATACTTATTTTTTTTATTGAAACCTGGAAAAGATGTATTGCCAACCAACCCCAGTGGATAAACTTTTAGGTACCCAGTGCGTGAGTTTCTGGGATTTTAGACGGCTTCATTCACTGCATCCCATGTATAGCTGAAATCATTCAAATTAGGCAAGAGCAAGCCATGCCCTGAATTCTTCCAAACTCTGAGGCAGGAGATGTGAAATTTGGATATTTAAACGGATCCCATATGCTTGGATGGTAGTTGATGCTTTAGACAAGGTTGTTTTGATTTGTTTACTTTCCCTCAGGAACCACAAAGAGGGAACCAAGTGCAAAGAATGTATGTCTACTTGCCATCAAGGTCTCTTCTGAGTTGTTCAGGGTTCTAAGTAGTTCAAGTAGTCTACTCAGAAAAGGGTAGTTCTTAACGCAGGTGACAGTCAAGGTCTGGCAATCTAACCCCACACCTGACAGGCACATCTAGCCAGCCATTACCATTCCTCAGCCTCAGTCAGTGTTGGCAGGCAGCAGAGCAGACCCCTGTTCTTATGTCTGTGTTCTTAGCCGGAAGCTGAGAATCCAGTTATACCTGAAACTTCTAACATTAGAAACTGTGCCACTTTTTTCCTTCCAAAAGTTCTATTGTTTCATCCTTTTGCTAAAAATTCCGTTGGTCTGCCCACACTCTTGTGGCAGGAAGAACACTCACCCCCCCCCATTTATCTTTGTGTTTCCAAAGCCTGATGTGTTACTAACATGAGGTTTGTGCAAGTAGGCTGAATTTGGCTCTTAAAAATCCTGCAATTTTTATCTTGGCCATTTTATAATCTTAGTAGGAATCCATTAACTTCCCCAAAAAAATATTTATTTGGCTACTACAATATACCAGATACTTCTGTGCTATTTGAATACAATGGTGGGGGAAATGAACAAAACATAGCGATGGGGGCTAGATTATATTTTGGTGGGAAAAAATAAGACCCCAATTGGAAACCAGATGAACTAGGTGTACTAGAGGCCTGAGGAGGAAGGGGGTAAGATTAGCTTTGGTTTCCACCTATGGTAGCAAGAGCTCAAGAATGAAGGTCCTCCTTAGCAAGTCAGAGCCCATGATCACATTCCCAGGACCAGAATGCTCACTGCTCCACAAGTAGGCAACAAATACATAAGCAATTTATTTTTAGGAAACTGTGCTGGAGAAAGAGAGAGCGAATTCTCCCAAAGTAGAACAATATCATCTTGCTTCTTGGCTTGAAAGGAAGTATTGATCAGTAGCTAGTAAGTCAGAGGTTAATAACTGGGTCTGATAATTCCTGTTATCAGACACATGATTAATGATGTGGTCTCCTCGGGCTCCTGGTAAACACAGGAACCTCTATTTTCAATGCTTTTACTGAGGACCAAGGAGTTAAGCTATTCTCCCAGGATTCTGCTGGTGGAAGGCTGGTAGGATGTGGGGGTGCACACCTCCATCCGCTGTCTCAGGGAGTGAAAAATGAGGGTCCTATAAAGTGCAAAGCGACCACCAGAGTTACCAGTTTGGACCTGATTGTTTAATGGTAAAAGATCGACTCCCCCACTCCCATACATCACCATTCCACAAGACCACATGCTTGGCTAATAAAATATCTCCCTCCAATTCACTTTCCTCTCTCTGGCTGGTGCCCCACAGACAGCTGCTAAGGCTTATAAACAGACAGTCACACCCAGGCCACTGAAGAATGTACAAAACTGGCCCTTGCCTTGCATCAGAGCACATCTATTTAGTCACTCACAGTGTAAGTCATAATGGTCAAAGATGATGGGTCTCTCTCTCTCTCTCTCTCTCTCTCTCTCTCTCTCTCTCTCTTAAAGAATTGCACAGTAAATACAAAGGAGAATTTGTATCTTCAAGCAACCTTTAAATGATGTACATGACTCCTACTGCAAACTGGTCCATTTCTCACTGTCTATATCAAAATGAGATTTGACTCAGCACGCTCTCCCTGGAAGAAACAATAATTTCTTTGTTAGCTAAGCCCTGTGTCGTCCCTGAGCCAGTGTGGGTTGGTTCATCTCACAGATACCTTCCAAAGCATGTTCTGTGACACTATCACAAATTGATTAAACTGGGAAACAGAAGTAATTATAATCACATGAAGATAAAGGTTCGAGAAAAAACAAGTAGTTGAAAATAACAGTGATATAAAATGCCACGAGGACAGGAAATCAAGACACACCAAAGTGCAGGCTTCAAAACAAATAAAGCGCCCAGTGATGTATTCATAGCGGGTGGCAACACTTAAGCAAATGAACCTCTCCTAAATACGCCAGAGCGCAAACCATCTCACTTTTGGAATATTTTTGTCGACCCATCTTTGGTGTAGTTAGTGGGGCTCTAACCGAGCTTGGTCCTCAGTGGAACAGACGGGCACTGTCAGAGCAATGCGATCCAGATCCCTGACTTACTAAATGCATATGGTGAGGGATTGCACATGTCTTCCCAAGCAAAGAAATAAACAGGAACTGCATTTGCTGCAGTCATTAAATGACATCACTCTACTTACAACTAGGAGTGAACTCCTTACGTCAGAGGAGATTTCCTTTTGAGAGAAACTTTATCTTTAGTTAATCTGAGTGTTTGAGAGAACTTCTCATTTTCTTTTCCTCTGGCTTGTGTTTGCTTTTTAATAATATTTTTAAATCACCCCAGTACCCGGTGAGAGCCTTCCACAGAAATGATGCGTGTGCCCAACTCATCATAAAGTTTCTTCAGGACTGCAAGCTTCCCCCCCACCCCCGCCCCGCTGGCCTCAGCCCGTCACACGCAGACTTTTGCCCAGGCCATTTCTCATTTCCAATCAGGACCATACACACAGCAGGCTCAGTTAATCAACTCCACAAAAACTTGCCAGAGC